TCCCGGGCAGCCGATTGCTATGCATCACTAGGAAAGTCATCTCCCCATGTAGATCCTGGTGTTGAATGCAGTTTTAATCTAAGGTATGGTCCAGCTTCAGGGTTCCCTAACATAGAAGAGGGGTCTGAAGGTGCAGAAACTGAGGCCTTTATTGTACTGGAGGAGAAAGAGGAACCTCCCCATTTTTCTGGGATATCTATATTATGGGTAATACACACCAAAGAGGGTGAGTGTCCTGCCTCCCCATCACAAGAATGGTAACCCCTGATATGCGTGGAAGAATTTGCAAAATGAATTCACAAAAAACAACAGATTTAATTCTCCTGCAGGCCTTGACAGATAAGCAAAGGGAGTGCCACTACTCCATTTATGAATGAAAGCATGGAACCCTCCTTTTGTGAGTTGTTTTCTTCTCCCTCCACTTCTAGATAAATGGGACCTTGAGTGTCCTGGTCAAGAAAAGCCTGGAAATTTGCTCAGAGTCAGGTCCACTGGGTGTCAAAGGAGCCACAGACAGCTGGAGGGCAGGGCCACTGGCTCTGCTGAAGCCCTTTCCCTCTGCCAGCCATGAAGCTTGTCTGTATTCCATCTGACTTGTTACTGTTTGTGTTTAAAACAAACAAACAAACACTTGGTTTCTATCTTTATCACCCCAGTTTGCCAGCAAGCATCACCACCATTCCTCAAAAAGGACAGGAATTACCCATTCCCAGGTTCTGGGACAGTGGGACAGGGTGGCATTTGACCTCCAATGGCTGGAGCAATTAGCACAGTGCCGTTCCAGGAAGCTGACAGCCAGGCGTCCTCTTCCCACAAAACCCTTCCTGGGTGGGTTGTGTGAGCAGGGCCTTCCTCCTCGTTTTGGAAAAGGCCATTCCTGTTAATCCCTTTCCATTTGACCTAGTTCTGAGAGCTCCACGTACATCTCTTTGAAATCTCACAACTATTGGAGGTAGGTGCTATAACCATGGGCATGTAAGGATGAGGAAACCGAAACTCAGAGTGTCGGCTCTTTGCTCAAACTCCCAGCTCTGAAGTAACAGAGCCTGGATACCAAATTAGCCTCTGCTTTATCCCCCAGTATAAGGTCTGGAGTTCCCTGGGCCTGGGAGAGTATGTGGCAGCTCTCTTAGGTGTGTGAGTGTATGTGCTGGGGAGGTCAAATGTAGGTCACAGAATCAGAGGCAGGATTCTAATTGGCCCTTGAGCCTCAGCCCTTTGCTCCAAATGGGTGAAACAACCAGAACGCCAATTTCAGTGGAAGAACATGTTAAACTACCCCTGAGGGCTTCCCTGGTGGCGCAGTGGTTGAGAGTCCGCCTGCCGATGCAGGGGATGCGGGTTTGTGCCCCGGTCCTGGAGGATCCCACATGCCGCGAAGCGGCTGGGCCCGTGAGCCATGGCCGCTGAGCCTGCGCGTCCGGAGCCTGTGCTCCGCAACGGGAGAGGCCACAGCAGTGAGAGGCCCGCGTACCACAAAACAAACAAACAAACAAAACAAAAAAAAAAAAAAAAAAAACTACCCTTGATAGTGCACAGTCCCCAAGGGCCGAGGCTAAGCCCCTAAGAAAAGATTCTAGACTGCTCTACCTTAGGGTTGGAGAAGGTGGAGAGGACAGCGTCCGGCTGGGAGCACTCTTTGTGTTGAGTGGGAGGAAGAGAAAGCCTGGGTTCCTGGAGGTTCTGCAAAGCATGTAAGGAAATAGGCTGAGGATGTGGGAGTGGGGAGGGTGAGGACGGGATTTTGGCTCGGGGCTGGGGCGGGAAGAATAAGGACAAATGTTCCGTGGCTTTGGCCGGAAGGATCCCAGCGCCCGCTGTCTTTTCTCCTGGGCGGAGGCCAAAGCGTAGGGCCGCTACAATGCGCGGCTTCACTAGTTGGCCCTTCTCTTTGAACGCCCATTACATGGCGCGCGTCTCTGTGTGTGTGTGTGTTTGTGTGTGTGTGTGTGTGTGTGTGTGTGGTTGGGAGTAGGCTCTGGCCTTGAAGTCCCTGATAAGGAGCATCTCTGTGCACCCGTGGAGCCCGCACCCTAGAAGGATACTGAGAACACGTTCTGGCCATCAACAAATTTCCCCCGCTCGCAGATACGGTTCGAAATGAGCTGGCGGACGCCGCTCTGGCACAGATGGGGAAACCGAGGGCCTTAGCGGTTGTTTAAGTTTACAACGCGAAATGGTGGTAGAGCCAGGATTATGGGCCTTTGTAAAGTGTGGAAGGATAGAGTCTGAATTGGAAGGAATACAGCTTAATGTGAAGGAAAGTGCCCTTTAGATGCGTTGATATTGACGACCCGCCCCGTACGCCACGCACGCCCCGCCCCCCCCAGCCCCTATTCTGCTCAGGAGGGTGGATGCCTCCTAGCGGCCCGCACCCGGGGCGCACAGCTGGGGCAAACGGGTTGCGGAATGTGCCTGATAGCGGTATCCTGCCAGGTGGTCTGAGGCTTCCTCCTGTTGGAAAGCGGGTAATGCGACTCTGCTTTAGGCTTCATGGCCCCCTATACTTCCTGGAAGAGGAGACATATGTAATCTGGAGCCCTCTCATCTCCTTTCCTGGGGTGGGGGAGTGGCGGGGGGAGAGGCCAGAGGTGTAAATCCCACGGAGTTCACCCCGGTCCTTTGGGGTCAGCAGGCCATAGGCTACTGTAGGGGAGGGGGCCGTGTGGGTGGGAAGTTTACAGAACTGATCTCTGTCCTATGCTTCCTAAACACATCTGTTTTAAAGAAGAAACTGAGGCTGAGATGTGATTCACCTCGGGACCCGACACCACTGCCCTCACCACCACTATTGTTCCGACAGCACTCATAGCCACTCGCCCATACCAGAGGAGGTTCCCCGGTCACCCACACGATCTTTTAGAGAGAGACCCATCTCCACAAAGGGAAGTTCAATGAGAAGCAATTATTGGGATAAGTCAAAACGAGCATCCCTGTACCCAGGTCTCTAACCCAAACTGCCTATTTCTAGTGGACAAATCAACCGGATGGTGACACTCTGCTTTTTCCCGGCTGTGTACACGCCACCTGAGACGCGCCCCAGTCTCCTTCTTCTCCGTCCACCAGAGCGGTACAGTTTGCTCCGTTTGCTCCGTTTGCTCCGTCCGCTTTCTCCGCAGCGCCGCGTCCCAAGGAGCCCCGAAGCTGGACCAGGCTCTGGCCAGACAGGGCCAGGGCCGACGGCCCAGGAAGGGCGCCTGGGTGGGCGCCGTCCAAGCGGCCGAGCGACGGCTGCAAGCGCCTCCTCCTCCCTCGCGGCGCCAGCACGCGGCCCGGCCGGGCTCGGCTCCCAGTCGCCTGCCACCGGCCCGCCGGGCACACGCCTGGGGCGGGATGGAGGCTGAGCCAAGGCCGCCGAGATGCCTGCAGCAGCGCCGAACAACCAGCGAAGCTGCTCCGCCCCCACCCCCAAGCTCCATCACCTCCCCCCATCTCCTTTCTCAGATCCACCCTGGGAATACCCCAAAGAGCTCCTATCTTTATACACCCCCTTAGCCGGTCCGGAAATAATCCTTTTTTTGGGGGGGGGACGGGGCGCGGCGGTGATGCTACAGGCAGCTAGGTCATCCTGGAAGAGTATCCCGGCTATACACACCTGTCTCCCTACAGCTCTGGTTACCACCACCCCTCAAAGCGATCACCTCCCTTCTTCTTGGCCTCCTCCACACTTGTTCAGTTGTAGGGGGCATATCCTAGATTTCACAACTGGATGGGACGATAGAGACCATCTAATCCAACCTTCTGTTGTTACAGACGAGCAAACTGAGGCTCAGAGTGGATGTCACTTACTAAGGGTCACGGAGCTAGTGAGAGGATGCACTGGGACCAGAACCTAAGTCTTAACAGTACTTTAACAGTCCCACGGAGTCCTCCCCATCTCTCTGAACTTCAGTAGCAAATTTCCTTCCGCTCCCAAGAGCATCGAAAACCCCCAAGAGAGTGACAGTGGGGTAGGAGAAGAAAACAGGGAAAAATGGAGCCTTACTGCCCCCAACTTCCACACCGCCCCGTGTCACATTTTCTGCCCAAACCCTTCCCTGTGATTTTCCCCAAGTTCTCAGGAGAATCCCGGGACACTTCACCCCAAACCTTTCCACCCATACACCCCCAATTTCCAGAGCTATTGGCCCGTCGGCGACGCTGCCCTCCCCTCCCCACCCCCCCTTCTAGAACCACCCCCGGCTGCCGCCCGCCCTGAGCGCGCCGCCTGTTTATTCAGCCGGGAGTCCGGCACGCGCCAGGCGCACGCACTGCAACAACAAACCCGGCTGAATGGAGAGTTTGCAAGGAACGGGCTCGGGGGACGGGCGGGGGGAGGGAAGGGGAGGAGGGGGAGTTTAGGGAGGGGGTGGGAGGAGGAGGTAAGAGGAGGGGGGCGGGGGGGCTGCAGCCGCTCGCTGCAGCAGCGGGGAGTGGGGGGCGAGGCGGGGCCAGGGCTGCGCGTGGGGCTGGGTGTCCCATTGAAAAGGCGGCCGCACTCCAGCCGCCCAGCACTCTCTCACTTCTGGCCAGGGAACGTGGAAGGCGCAGCGACGGGGAGCCGGCCAAGGAGGGCGAGTGAAAGAAGGAAATAAGAAAGAAAGAAAGGGGGTTAACAAAATAATACAAACAGCCCTAGCCGCGGCTGGAGAGACCGAGACCCGGCGCAAGAGAGCGCAGCCCTAAGGGGAGAGGAACAGAAGACTCAGCAGAGCGCGCTCACCACCGACTTTTGCTTCTTCTGCTGTTTTTTTTTTTTTTTTTTTTTAACAAGAAGGCACTAGCGGCAGCCTCACACGCGAGCGCCACGCGAGGCTCCCGAAGCCAACCTGCGAAGGGAGGAGGGGAGGGGGGAGGAGGAGAAGCAGTTACACCTTCCTTGCTCCCACCCTAAGAAGTCTCCCGGGGATTTTGTATTTTTGTAACTTCTCCCCGGGCTCCCTCTTCATCTCTCCCCTTCTCTCCCTCTCTGTTCGTGGCCCTCCGGTCCTGTCTGTGTCCCCCCAGCGCGCGCCCCGCACCTCGCGTCCCCGGATCGCTCCGATCCCGCGACTCCTCGCCGGCCGCTGCGCATGGAGAGCTCTGCCAAGATGGAGAGCGGCGGCGCAGGCCCGCAGCCCTTCCTGCCGCCCGCAGCCTGCTTCTTTGCCACGGCCGCGGCGGCGGCTGCGGCGGCAGCGGCGGCGCAGAGCGCGCAGCAGCAGCCGCCGCCGCCGCCGCCGCAGGCGCCTCAGCTGAGCCCCGCGGCCGACGGCCAGCCCTCAGGGGGCGGTCACAAGTCAGCGCCCAAGCAAGTCAAGCGACAGCGCTCGTCCTCGCCCGAACTGATGCGCTGCAAACGCCGGCTCAACTTCAGCGGCTTCGGCTACAGCCTGCCGCAGCAGCAGCCGGCCGCCGTGGCGCGCCGCAACGAGCGCGAGCGCAACCGCGTCAAGCTGGTCAACCTGGGCTTCGCCACCCTTCGGGAGCACGTCCCCAACGGCGCGGCCAACAAGAAGATGAGCAAGGTGGAGACGCTGCGCTCCGCCGTCGAGTACATCCGCGCGCTGCAGCAGCTGCTGGACGAGCACGACGCGGTGAGCGCCGCCTTCCAGGCGGGCGTCCTGTCGCCCACCATCTCCCCCAACTACTCCAACGACATGAACTCCATGGCCGGGTCGCCGGTCTCATCCTACTCGTCGGACGAGGGCTCCTACGACCCTCTCAGCCCCGAGGAGCAAGAACTGCTCGACTTCACCAACTGGTTCTGAGGGGCTCGGCCTGCTCAGGCCCTGGTGCGAATGGACTTCGGAAGCAGGTAGGTTGCACTATGGAGGGAATGGGGGGAGATTTTCTTGCATTCATCCTTTTTCTTCTGTAGGAGGGGGACTGTCTCCACGGAGATGAGGGAGGGGGGTTGATTTAAAGGATTTGTTAAAGTCCGTCGATTTCAAATCCTGGTATGTTAGTTTCAGCCTTGGCTTCTGAGAGTGGCTTTGTCCAGGTCTCCAAAACTGGAGGGTAGAGCTGAGGCGGGGAACAGAGTACTAAGACCTGTCAAAAGAGGCGCTCTACCTGACAGATCTCTCTCCAAACCTCCTTTTGCTCCCACTACTGGCCTCCAAGTGCACACTAACCTCTCCCGTTTTTATGTTACAGGGCCACCGCGCAACCTGCATCTTTAGTGCTTTCTTGTCAGCGATGTTGAAAGGGAGAAAAAAGAAGAAAGAGGAAGAAGAGAAGAAGAAGAAAACAAACAAATCCAGGCAACCAACCCCTACGCCAACTAAGCGCCGCGTGCCTGAGAAGCAAGGCTCTCGCAAAACAGGAATGCGCTCAGAACAGTATCTGTGCACTCCAGTCATTCACGGAGATAGAAAGAGTGACTAGGACCCGAGTCAATGCACAAAATGCAGCTTGTGTGCAAAAACAGCGGGCTCCTGGCGGAAGGGAGCAGCACACGCCCTGTAGAAACTCCCACCCACCACTAACAGGCAGAGCTGACCTCCCCGCCCCCTCTGAAAGCGCAGTTCTTAGCCCTCTAGAAATGGGTTGGTGTCTTTCGTCTCTGTATCCTCCATCCCGATAAGCTGTGGACATTTGTCTGCAGTGAAAGTATGCTCTTTGAAACCCCAATCCTCTGCAGGGGGGGGGCTCCCTCCCCAAGCTCCACTCCCTCACACCATCTTTTCTACTTTTTTCATCATAGAATGCTTCCAATCTTTTGTGAATTTTTTTTATTATAAGAAAAATCTATTTGTATCTATCCTAACCAGTTTGGGGATATATTAAGATATTTTTGTACATAAGAGAGAGAGAAAAAATTTATAGAGTTTTGTACAAATGGTTTAAAATGTGTATATCTTGATACTTTAACATGTAATGCTATTACCTCTGCATATTTTAGATGTGTAGTTCACCTTACAACTGCCATTTTCCCTATGTGGTTTTGTAAAGAACTGTCCTCATAGGTGAGATCAAAAGGCCACCAGATGTACTTCAGCACCAATGTGTCTTACTTTATAGAAACTTTGTTAATGTATTAATGACGCTATTAAATACTGTTCAAGAAGAACAAAGTTTATGCAGCTACTGTCCAAACGCAAAGCGGCAGCCAGTTGGCTTTGATGGGTTGCCTTTTGGGAAATTTCTATCACTGCCTTTTTTTTTTTTTCTTACTGTTTTATTACAAACTTACAAAAAAAAAAACCCCATGTATAACCCTGTTTTATACAAACTAGTTTCATAATAAAACTTTTTCTTTTTTTACAAATGAAAATGATCAGCTGCCCCTGAGTCTTCTTTGATGCCACTGCCCCTGCCCAAGTTATTACGAAAATGCCAAAGGGAAAGACGGGGGAGAAGAAGGCGGTAAGAAACATGCTAAGTGGCAGAAATGACAAAGATAAGTGCTATGACCAGTCCTATCCGAGATGATTCTATGATGAATGTACATATATATATATATATATATATATATATACACACACGTATATGGTTTTTCTCCACGTTCGTGTTGCAAATGTACACAGACACCTAGAGGATGGGTGGTGATTAATGGCTACATCGCCTTTTGATAACATGACTTTACACTGAAAAGATACCTCCAAAAGTGAACTGGAAAGAGAAGGTCCTCAGCCCAGTTTCTAACCCTTACCCCCATTCCGAGTTTCTCATCGTGAAACTGTGGAAGGGCTGGATGAGATAACGAACACTAGGGGTGAGAGAAAGGGTGGTGGTGCCTGAGGCTGGGCCTGGGGGAGGTAGCCCTGTCCACGCTCCCAGTGGTAGGTGTGTTCTTCCTTCACTGCCAGGCATGCATTTTCCACTCCTCTTCCCCACAGCACACACTTTCCACATTGGTTTTAAGTGAAGGGCACGTATGATGTAAATTTCTTACCGGAGTTAGATTTAAATAAAAGCCTTAGAAATGTGTGGTCGCTTTGAGACACTGGCCTATCTAAGCTTGTGACTCTATCCGAATGGCGTGAGCTGCGTGTAAAAGTACCCAATTACCAAGATTCAAAAAGAAATTGGTGGGTTTTTGGCTGGCTTGCTTCTTGTCAGTTAGCAAGGACGTGATCAGAATCCTACGCCGCCTCTCGCCGGCTCCGCGCTCGCCGCTTGCATTGCTTGCAGATTCAGTGAGCGTGTCTCCAGCCAAGCGGAAAGCCGAGCGCAAAATGCATCTTACAAAACCCAACAAAGAGCAGGGAGCCAGCACGTCTTCCAGAGTTAAAAATCTAGTCTGTGTTGGTACATCTATACCATTTAGTGGCACAGAATAATCATTTTTTAAAGCCGCGATGCGCGGAGCACGCCACAGCGTCTGATGTCATTTTGCTAAATGACCCTCTATAGAATGCACATTGAGGCTTCAGTCCCTTTCAAAGAGATGAGCGTAATTAAGGCGAAAAAAAAAATCAGTAAATTCCTCATCGCCATAAATAATCGGACTTTCTGCCAGCAGTGGGCCAATTTAGAGCTTACTTGAGGGAAGTAATGCTTTTGTGATGCCTGCTTTATTTTTTATCTTCTCATTTGGAGGACCAGAGCTGGGTCCCCCTCTCCCGCCACCCACCCCCGCCATGCATTTCTTATTCTTTTAATTTAGCTCCTTTGCAAGTTTCCAGATAAGGTACGCAAAGAAAGTGTAGCAAGTCATTTATGGCTATGAATATAGCATTAGGATAATGTTTCAGTCCCCACAAAGGGGATGTTTCCCCCCTTCTCCTTGTGAAGACAGGTGTTCTTTTACTCACTTGTGAATGGGAGATATCCAGTCTCGTTAAACTCGGGGCAAAGTTAGCCGTTGTTTGCCACAATGCGGAGGCAAACTCTAAAAATTCACAAACACACACACAATTTTGCCGAAGCTAGGAAAGGGCAAAGCGGGGATTGGGCAAAATCTCATTACATCTGCTCTAATCGCTTAGCAACACAAAGCCGGGGCTTGTGCGGCGAAGGGAAGCCATTCAGGGCGCTCTGACAGGCCGCATTCAGCCAGCATTAGTCAGCTCCATAAATCACCGCAGCCCATTGGCTGCGCGGCGGGCTTTGGAGCGGCCCTGGGCTGTCAGCGAAATACAAAACGTAGACCCCAGCGGCTAGCAGTCGCGGCCTCTCCCCCGTCTTAGCCCCAACTCCCGCTTTCTTTTCTGGGGGGAGGAGGGTGCTGGGGAAGAAAACTGCCTTGACGTTATTGACTGAGAAATCTTACCTATTCAAAAAAAAATGGCCTGGAGACCACCGAATTCAGACTGGAGCCGCCTGAAATTGACCAGGAGGAGCGGGGAGTGCCAGAGAGAAAGAAAAAAATAGACCCGCCGCTGGCTGCAAAACTGTTGAATGCGAGTATTATCAGAGGCTGTGCTGGAGCTACTGGGACACACGTCTCACCTCCCTGACTCTGCCTTTCACATTGTTAAATTGGGAGTAGGGGGTTATGCATGGAGAAATATCTATGTCAAGTTCATATCAGACGGGCCCACCGAAGAAGGAAGACACCGGCCCGCCCTCTGCCTAGAGCGTCAAAGGGCTAGGACTGAGGCTAGTAAGAAAGAGAGAGTAGAGCATGCATTTACACTTCGCTGTTCTTGCAGGGCTTGGGATGTTAGAGCAGGGAATCGACATCCCCTTCCTTCTAAGCTTCAGTATTCTTGTTTATAACATGAGGCTGATGGTACCCACAGCAGCAACAGGAGGCTATATGAAGGACTTAGCACAGGGCCTTGTAGGGGAGCTTACAAGTTATTTGTAACTATGAGCACTTGGTGGTGTTATTCTAGTCTCTCATCTTCATGGGGACTGGTTAGTTGATGCATCTAAATCAGCCTAGATTTGAGGCTTACCCACAAACCACATAAAAAGAAGTCTGGGAGTAGATGTGGAGTCAAGGTAGGCTTCTCGGGGAAGTCCAGGTCACCTTACCTCAAACATCACCTCCTCTGAGAAGCCTTCCTTGATCATCCTATCTAAAGCAGCTTTCCCCTGGCCACAGTCACTCTTTATCCATTATGCTGTTTCTCCTTCCTGGCATCTAGTACTACCCAAACAAAACAAGACAAAAAACCCAACAAACAAACAAAAAAATACCTGTTTGTTTATACAATTGCCCCCTCCTAGAAGGTACACTTCATGAGGACAGGGAC